GGTATATAGGTGATAATTTTCTACTTGAGATGTGGGTTTATTTTCAGATTATTATATCGCAGTCTACTTTCAGAAGTTTCAGAAAAGCCATGAAATAGTCAAAATTGCGGCATATGCTTCTTATGTTAAAAGTGATAATTTTTAGAGCGTTTATTGAGTTATGAAGCTCGTTTGTGAGTTGTTCCGGATCCACTGCAGCTGAATCGGAGACGGTGAAATTGTCCAAGTCTATATGAACTTGGGTAATGTTGTGGTCAGTCATTTTTTAAATAATTTGGGATGGTGTAATTAATGCGGATAATATAAAAATGATTATTTGATGGTGATACAGTTATGCAAGGATTTTTATTATAATTATATTTGGGTACAATTGAGAATTGTTTATTTATAACAGTATATTTAAAAATGTAATTTCCAAAAAAACAACAAAATTTGAAAGGGATAGATTTGTTTAGGTTCATAGGGTATATTCCTCGAGCACATTTACTTATATTTAGGAGAAGGTATGTATTGAAATATGTAAAAAAGTTTTGTGAGTATGTTTGTATGTGTGTTATAACAGTATAAAAAATAAAAGTAAAGTTGAATGAACAAATATAAAATAACAGGGCATGCAAACCTGTGTACAGAATTAAAAGTGTGTGGTATAGTCATTTGCTATCTTGAGAGATTCTTTGGAAGTCCTCTTCGTTGTTAATGCGAAACGCCTAGCCCCCCTCCAGTTTTTTTAAATACACAAATCCATGAGCAGCCCAACAGAATTTGAAGCCGTTCTCGCTTCCAAATTTACGTAGCGAATTGTTTTGCCTTGAACAATCTAAAATAAACAGCGGAGCCTTCTCTTTGAAATCCTTTAGCTTGAGCAAAGGGTCGACTGGACAGTTGTAATACGACTGATAAAATTTGGCATACATTTCGTATAATATACTATATTTCGACGCCCCCCGCGAATAATTCGGTAATCGTAAAAGTGTAAATGTTCAGGAAAAATAAAAAACCATTTTCCCTTAATAACTCTATTAAACAACAAGTATCAGAGACTTTTTATATCGCATATGGAAGCTAATTTTTTCAGCTATCTGGTTATTTCAACAAAATTAAAGTAGTCCCAAGGGCTTCGTTATAATTTAGCTGGATGCATTTTACTATATTAGTGTAGGTCAAGCTCTGGTCAGTAATGTCACTTACGACACTGTTCGTCTAAATTTATATTTTCGACGGCAACAGTAAAATCTTGTTGCGATATTATTCATGTAAATTTATATTTTCGACGGCAACGGTAATATCATGTTGCGCTATTATTCGTGTAATTTGTTTTGTATACTGAAAATTTGTAAAAAGTAATAATTAGGTTATTCGATTGTTCAACAGTAACGTACATTTTATTGTTATGACTATTACTGTTTATTCGAATAGTTTACTTAAGTATTATTTGATGATTATTTTAGTATATTTTATGAAATAAAGGTCATTCTAGTAAATGAAACAACTTTGGTAAGTTTGACAAAACACGATAGTTATTATTATCATAAAAATAGACACTGCACTGAAGACACGACTATTACACATGATTACACAACCATGAAAATTAAAATAAGGTCCTATTACAGTTGAAAATCTTAATCAGAATCCTCATCGTGACCTGATTCAGTATCACAAAAGCTTAAGTTCCTATAAAATGGTTGATAATGTTGGAGTATGGCTTGGGAGTTACAAAGGCTTAGGAGATCATTATACAAAGCTTTTTGAATAGGGAGTGGCTTGTCATATGCTGGCTTTAATTCAATACTTTCAATTGTTTTGGACACATGTTTCTGCCGACGTTGTCTACTTCTGCCTGCATCGTAATCCAATTCAATATAATCTTGATCAAAATCATATTTGAAAAGAAAACAGTTAGGTTTACTGTATGACACACTAACCTCCATCACATTGGACCATCGTACTTTTTCTCCTGTTTTATCTTGAAGCCATCTTTTGGGTTCAACAAGCTCTTTTATGTTAAGGATTTCAGATTGTTGCATTTCTTTTCAGATATATTTGTCTTCGGAGACTTTAGCGTTCATTATGATACTATATACTTAGTCCGGTGCGTACAAAACTTTGTTTTTCAGAGCTCTTTCAATACATGCGTGCATTGAGTCGCCTTCATTTTGGCTATACCCACCAACAAAAAACCGATGGGTAATTTCAATTTGAAGAGTCATTGCAATGTAAAGATACAACGCAAAAATGTATCTGTTTTTATTCTGGCCATAACAACCATCTTAGTAAAATATAATTTTGCGTATACCTTTTTCGTGTAAGGTCTTGACAAATTGAAACAAGCAACTCCCTATTTCGATGCACCCTTTTTTTCCAATTTGAGCTTGCCAAACGTAACAGAACCCTTGTTTGTTTAGAGCGTCAAAAACTGTAAAATTATTATTACGTTTGTAGTGGAAAATTGACACTTCAGACTGTGGTACATTCAAAATAAGCCTGTGTAACTCCAAAGCAATTCCCCACCATTATCAACCATTTTATAGGCATTTAAGCTTTTGTGATACTGAATCAGGTCACGATGAGGATTCTGATTAAGATTTTTAACTGTAATAGGACCTTATTATAATTTTCATGATTGTGTAATCATGTGTAATAGTTGTGTCTTCAGTGTAGTGTCTATTTTCTGTGATAATAATAACTATCGTGTTTTGTCAAACTAACCAAAGTTGTTTCATTTACTAGAATGACCTTTATTTCATAAAATATACTATAATAATCATCAAATAATACTTAAGTAAACTATTCGAATAAACAGTAATAGTCATAACAATAAAATGTTACATAAATAAGGTAGAAAACTATTTACCCGAATAATATCGTAAAGTAATTTTACTGTCAAATCAAATTGATATTTTTTTTCGTAAAGATCTAAAACCATATTATTCGTTTAAAATACATTTTAATGATTTGTTATGAATTATACGCGTAATTTTTCATATCTTCGTAAATAAAGATAAAAAAAATCTGAAAAAAAATGACATGGTGTATTTTAACTTCTAGATGCCGAAAAACGCATAACATGAAAAACCCCGTAATAGGTCTTTACCGGATTATTCGCGGGGGACGTCGATTTGTTCTCAGAAAACTTTAAGCTTAGAGGCTCATAGGGATAATATTGTGAATTCAAAAAGAGGGTCACGTTCGTTACTTCACAATGATTGAATAGTGTACTATATTTCAATTTTTTTTTTTTATTAGTTTGTAAACAGAAAATTACATATCTTGGCTTTTCAAGTTGTGATGCAGTTTTAACTGCCCATGAATGCTTTGTGGTTTTAGGTAGTAAAGGATACTCATACAAATCCCAGTTTCTAAATGCCATTTGAATAGGTTTATCTTTTTCTAAATATTTTAAAAGAGTCAGTCGTTCTCGATCTGACACTTGTATATGTGGTACTCTCCATTGCACCCTTTCTATATCTATTTTGAAATGTGCTATATCATCTGTAAGTATAACGCTGTTCAAGTTAGAATTACTTCTATTTAATATAAGTTCATGTTTACAATTTATCACAATTTTATTGTAATCCTCCGCAAATCCTAAAATCTTATTCATAGGTATTACGGCATTAAAATGACCGTCATTTTTAAATCCATCTAAGTTCCAACCCTATAAGGCAGCAACTTTATTTTCTGCTTCATTTAATGAGATATATGACTTTATTGTAGACGTTATTCCTGATTTTTTTATGCCATCTATTTCAATACCATTCATTTCATATCTGATGTCTTGAAACAAGAACAAAACCGGGTTATTACTAAATGTAACAGCTTTCTCAATGGGTTTCCCATCTTTGCCGAAGGGTTTTGCTTGACCTTCGATGTAAATTGAACTGGCTGATGGTAGCACGTATATATCTTGCTGGTGTATGGGAATTCTGATTTCATCGTTTTCTCTGAAGCAGTTATTGTAGGGATTGTAAGAATGGACTTCATAACTTTCAATTGTAGTATCGAAGTGTGGTAAATCATTTACCTGTAGGATATTCATTATTCATACTTTAAATCCTAGGGCTTTAAGAAAATCTTTATTTGGTTTGGTTAACTTTTTCACTTCTTTCTTACGTCTATACGCTTCAACGGTTCTAGAAGAAATAAGTCGTTTAATTTTGACCGGAGGATTTATATTATATAATATCATTTTATTTTTCTTAAATGAAGACGAAACTGAATGTGTTCTATGTAATTGATGCAGTAACCAAACTGATCAACAACTTTAATAGATATAGACGACATTATATTTTTGTTCACTGGAAAATAAATTACGTTTTGAGGTATTTCTAAGTACTGATGCCCCGCAGCATTATCAAATACAAATTCGTGAATAACATGAGTTGGTATTCCGTTAGTGTAGGAGCCGTATATTAAATCACATTCAATTCTGATAAGATGTGGAGTTTTATTACGAGAACTAAATTGTCCAAGTGGTGTTGAGTTTGTTATTGAGAAATATAACAAACCACACTCATATTTTCCTAATAAATTCAGAGGTGGTTGAAAATATGATTCTAACTCTGATTTATTCCCAGAGATAGTTACTGTTATAGACATACTTGCATATTGAACTCTTTTAGAAACTCCCGGTTATTTTATTTCACTACTACTAAAAAAATTCCTCAAAAATTTTAAACAAAGATGACCGCAATTAAAAGGGTGATCGCCTTGTACATTTTCGTAATTATAATGGATTTTAGAGCCTAGATATTTTATAAATTCTTTCGGTGGCTTTAAATTTCTGTAACCGTCAAAATATTCAATATAATCATTGTATTTTGCATAGGCTACCCAATGAGAACCAGGATTTTTAGATGTATCTAGATTAATAACTCCGCATTCTTTTTTAAAAGGGTATTTAGGGAGCTCATCTCTCATGAAGGCACCTCTAAAATTAGGAATACTATTTCCATACTTCAAAATGTCGATGTTAGTTAAGGCTCGTTTGGGTAGCCGATATTTTAGTTTTTTTCTTTAGATACAAAAATACCAAGTCCATCTTTATGCGGTTCAAGATGTAATCCTTTTCCAATGCAAAGAGCCTCCATTTTTTCATTGTGTCTCTTTGATTCATCATACAGCTTTTTAGCCATTTTGAATTCATTTATGGTTTTAGCAATACCAGCCGCACCGCCTGCTAAGGCTCCCGCCGATGATAGTCCCGCAAAAATCGGGATCAAGGGTAATACTCCACCAGTTTTAGGTATGGGAATAACACGAGGAAGTTTAATAGATGAATCATCAGCTAGTTCTCTGACAGCAGCCATAGCTAATTCTATTGCTACTTTTTTGCATTTTGGTTTTAATTTTTTCATGCGATTTTTTGTAACAGTAATAATCTTTTCCTAACAAAACATTGCTTACTAGATGGGCTGCAATTTTCTCTCCTGTACTTGCATCAGGCGCAACTACACGTTTTTTCGCCATTCTAAACAAAATTAAGTCAGCCTTATGTCGATCCTTTAAGTTTAACGACTCGTGATATGCAATGTCGTGCTTTTACAATATTCGTCTAATTTATTTATACCTTTATCTCCGCGCACAAGTCTCTTATTTAATTTTGTACCTGGGCCACAGTAATTGTATCCCGGTAAATGTAATTCTAATGGTAAATGGTTTATAAGCCAATTGAGAAGACTGCTCTCTCCAAAACACATCATAAGATTATTTTTATAATGGATTAAACACTTTATAAAATGAATTACTTTGATATATCAGTAACTTTATAAGCATATGGATGTAAGTTTATTAATTTATCATAACACGTTCAATTTATCGATCCAGCTATTTTCAGCAGAAGACAAACCTAGCCATTTTACTAAAACCTTATTGCCTTTCCTTTTAAGAACTTTTTCGACTAGGTATACATTTGGATGTTTTGTCTTTTGAAGTTCTTGCACATAAAATGCGCCCAAAATAGGTTGACCTCTGAGTGTATCTTCAATTAAATACGTGACAGGAGTTGTATTTTGTATTTGTCGAATTTTAAATATTTCTGTCGACCAGTTAGGAGTATATCCTTTTTCAAATGTTCCTTTGTACTTACTAATACGCACGTAATCACCCACTTTCAACTTGCTTTTCATACTATCTTTTTTTACCGATCGTTTATATCTATCTAATAAGCGCTTTTTATTTGCATTATCTACATTTGCGGGGATTTCATCTATCGTTCGATGGTAGGTATGATTGTATTTATTAGTAATAGTATTAGGGGGTTATTTATCCAGTTATAATTACCTCTCAAGCTAAATTCTTTATACAATTTTGATTTCAAAGTTCTGATAAATCTCTCAACTATTGAAGCCTTTTTTGACGAGAATGTATAATAATGATTAATATTGTAACACTGCATAAGCTTTTTAAATTTATCATTATAAAACTCTGTTCCATTATCAATTTGCAGATTTTTAGGAACACGCCTTCTCTCCAACAAAATCTTAAAAGTGTTACTTACGATCTCTTTACGTTTACTTTTTAAAGGAAAGGTCCAAGCATATTTAGAAAATGTATCAATAACGGCAAGAATAAATTTAAAGCTTTTATTTTCTTTGGAAACAGATTGCATATCAATTAAGTCTGCTTGCCATTGATCATCTATATCTTTCATTATAACATTTCTTCGTGGAAAATTTACCCTAGCATTTTTATGAATCTCATTTACCACATCTGCTTTGCTCATGATTTTTTTTAAATTACTCATTATTTCTATCTCTGGATCAAGTATAATTACTAACTGATTTTTGTGACAAATTTTGTAAATGTTCGCGATGGTTAAATATGTTATACTGAATTAAATATCTATTGTGGGTAGTATTTATTTCTTAATTATGCTAGCTTCTTTTAATTCTTCAATTATAGACAATATATTATTATCGTGATTTGTATTGCCAGCATCTCTTGAAGCCACTAACAACTTTAATCTCTCAACCAATTCATTGGGATCGTCCCAGTATACTAAGTCAGTATTGTTTTTATAGAGAGTGTGTTTCAGAGTGTTTTATTTTCAACATTTTTAGTTTTTTCCCAAGTTATATTCGAATCGACTAAGGTCTTAAGAGGATCTGTGACAGGTTTCAGCACTTTATCGAGTGACAAGTTCGTTGAGTGTTCCTGGTGCTTCATTTGTTTTATTTTATTCTTTACAGAGTTAACCGACTTTATTCATTCTAATTTAATATTTTGCTGCATGTTAAATTATAACAACTGTATTCAGCTAAAGAAGCAATAATACTAAATTTGTTTTTGCATAGTTATTACTTATATTTGTACATTTGACTCAAAATTTAAAAAAGATATCAAAGTTTTGTCTGTACCTTCCACTATTAAATGATGATTCTTTGTTAATAAGTAGAAAATTATAAGGGCTACTCCAAATAGTCTTGCAAATATTTTTGAACTGATTCCATTGTAGATCAGAACTAGCATGTTCTTCATAAATATGTTTTAAATAGAATAGAATAGAATAATCTTTATTGTACACCAATTCAGGATATTATACATACAATAGTATTCAAAGTTAATGACCATGTACAAATGGCGGCCTTATCGCTAAAAAGCAATATCTTACAGGCAACCTTTGGATGGACAAATAGACTGTAGGTAAATAGGTAATTTCATGGGCAGATTTGGTGAGAAAAAAGTGTAAAGGAAACTAAAAACAAAAAGAAAAATATTTATACAGCACAACAGCATTCCTTTGACAATTACAAAACAAAGTATTGTCAATTATATACAGCAGTCAGTCCTAGCAATACCTACTTATATAAATACAAGTAAATACATAAGGAATCTGTAATACATACACAAATACATATACTCTACCATTCATTTGCAGAGGAATGCAGCAGATAGGATATGTTTTGTAAATAATAAATTAAAATGACAGGTAATGTTCTTTGACCATTTTTTTAAAGGTAGGTAAAGTTTTTGCACGTTTTATAGGCATTGGCAAAGCATTCCATAGTCGGACAGCCTGTACAGTAAACGACTTATCGTAAAACGTGGTACAGTGTGATGGTACTGCCAGTTCCAGAGATTCAGATGACCTCAGGGACCTTGAATGTGTGTCACCAAGGAAAACAAATCGTTCCTTTAAATAAGTTGGAGTAAACGGATGAAATAGAATACTATAAAGTGAGGAAAGAATATGAGCATTCCGTCGAAGGCGAATTGGGAGCCACTTAAGCTGATTGCGATATTAAGATACATGATCATATTTGCGCAATCCAAATATAAATCTTATACAAAAGTTTTGAAGGCGCTCAAGTTTATCGAGTTGCTCCTCCGTGATGTCGAGATAACTGACATCAGCATAGTCGAGTATAGGAAGGAGGAGGGATTGCGCAAGCGCAATTTTAGTTGCCGTTGGGAGAAAATTGCGTAGTCTTCGCAAGGATCCCGCCGATGCAAACAGTTTTCGACTGACCTCTCGCAATTGGGGGCCCCAGGATAAGGTATTATCAATGTAAATCCCTAGATTTTTAACACAGGTACTCATTGGTAGTGCAGTACCGTTAAACATTATATTTGGTAATTGTGACCAGTCTATTCTTGATACCATCCCGGGACTGCCCACAACAATAAGTTGGGTCTTAGACGGATTCACTACAACTCCATACTCATTGCTCCAGTCACACACGCGCGCCAGGTCTAGACTAATAGTTGAAAGGGCTTCAGATAATTAATGTAACGGTGCTTGTGTATATATTTGAAAATCATCTGCATAAAGGTGGTAGGATGAGGCTAATGACTTAGTGATAGAGTTTATAAATATAGTGAAAAGGAGAGGAGATAAAACGCCACCCTGTGGGACGCCAGCAGACGTTTTACACCAAGATGAAAAATATTCTTCAAGGCGCACACGCTGCCTTCGACCAAACAGGTAACTTTGAAACCAATCAGTTACTGTTGGAGATATGTTAATAGAGCGCAATATGGCCAGCAAAATGTGGAAATCTACACTATTAAAAGCATTGCTAAAGTCCAGTAAGGAAAGAACTGTGAGTTTTCTATTTTCCATTCCAAGCCTGATGTCGTCAGTAACATTGATCAACGCACTTGCCGTACTATGACCCGCACGAAAACCTGACTGGAGAGGATTTAGTTTTTATTCAGGAATGAATTTAACTGGATGTGAACAAGACGTTCAAGGACTTTTGAAAGGAAGGGCAATATGGAAATGGGGCGATACTCGGAGAAGGATGCGATGTCGATTTGGTTGGAATCAGAATGTGAATATGACTTACCAACTCCCAATGTTTTAAGAAACTTCCAAATTTTTGCCGGGTCTCCGTTCTCGACCGAATTGTGAATGTATTGGCGTTGTGATTTCCTACAAGCCTTACTGCAGAGATTTCGGATGGTAATATATTTTTCTCGGTTTATAGGTGTTGGCCGAAATTTAAACTTACTTTTGGCTACAGCTTTTTTAGCTATTAAAGCTTTTATATCGTCTGTTAGTCAAGGTGAGGGTAAATGTTTATTTATTTATTTATTTATTTATTAGGGTTAACAACAGTCCTTAAAAATAAATATTACAATTTAAATTTCTACAATCAGGTGAAACCAATTAATGTTAACCACGTATGCAATTTTGATTTTAATAAAAATTGCCCAGACTTTGTCACAGCAAAAATGTAAAAAAATAAAAATTGAAGCCAAAACATATAATATTAAAACTAATAAATTAAATTACAACTAAAAGAACAGTGAGATAATATTCTAGGCAAGCAGTGTGCTGAACAGAGTGTGTGGTGCGTGTATGTGGGTGTGTTGTGCGTGTATGTGTGTGTGTGTGTGTGTTTGTTGTGCGTGTACATATGTGTGTGTGTGTATGTGCGCTACAATATACTACATAGCATTACATAGCCCTCAGAATAACCAAAAAAGCGAAACAACATCCCACCCAACGAGATCCACATTTAACCCAATCACACTTTAGCTTGAGTGCCCGCTAGCGTGTTCGTTATAAGCGTCTTAAACCTACTTTTACTGTTCGAGAATAAATCTATGTCTTAAAATTCGGTATTATAGGTTATTATAATTCTGGAGAGAACAGAGTTCTTGGCATAATTTGTAGAACGTAAGGGCGCAACCAAGAGCCTGGTATGTCTTGTTCGTGTTCGAGGTACACTAAAGTAGATATTTGCTAGCAATGCAGGACAATCAAGTCGATTTCGTACAATATCGTACAGAAAACATACATCTAGCATTCGCCGGCGCTCTTCCAACGTCAAAATCTTATGTCCGCGACAACTATCCACGTAAGAGGAGTAGCGTTGCTGAGTTTTGAAGTTAAGATGCATAATGATTT